TATCTTAAATGAAAAGCTTTTGTAACATTATACACTATACCATTCAAAAGCTTAGAGTCAGTATATATAATATATATATATTATTTTTTTGGAAAATAAATTATTGAAATTAATACTTTTATTCAGCAAGGATGCTTTAAATTGATCAAAAGTGATGATAAAGACATTTATAATGTTACAAAATATTTCTATTTCAGATAAATGCTGTTCTTATGAACTTTCTATTCATCAAAAAACCTGAAAAAAATCTAGGCCTACTCAGCTGTTTTCAACATCATAATAATATATATATATATATATATATATACTTTTTTTTTTTTGAGCAGCAAATCAGAATATTAGAATGATTTCTGAAGGATCATGTGACTGGAGTAATGATGCTAAATAATTAGTTTTGAAACCACAGGAATAAATTACATTTTAAAATATATTTAAATAGAAAACAGTTATTTTAAATAGTAAAACATATTTCAAAATGTTACTGTTTTGCTGTACTTTGGATCAAATAAATTGGTGAACAGAAGAGACTTCTTTAAAAACACTAAAAATCTTACTGTTCAAAAACTTTTAACTGGTAGTGTAGCCTACACTACTTTAATTTTTCTCTTATTTCTAGCTTTTAATTGGCTAAGAAATCAGACAACTGCTGGACAATAACCAATAATAATGATTTGTTTCTATACTACAAACACTTTTTTATCACATAATAAGGCAGAATAGTTTCTATACTGTAATAAATGCAATGTCAATTAGCACTGCATTGTTCATATACTTTATTTATTACCTGGAGATGACTTAAAAAACACAAATAAACCATATATTGCCGCAATCATATGTTTAATGTCAAATGTTTCCAAACGTTTCTGTTTTTCTGTGAAAAGTAAACAACTGTTTTCATACAGAGATAGACGCTTTTGTCCATATTAGTGATTTCCTGCTACGACTTTCTGCGCTTCGAGTATGAATGAAACATACACTGCATGGATCTTGCCTCATTCTGGGTCCGAATAAAACATCAGGTCATGCACAGGCTATCCTGTCTCTTTGAATTTATATCTATATTTATTCACACCGGCTCTTCAAAGCCTCTATGCAAACACACTTGCCTAGAGTTTTTTATATATTTTTTGATAATACGAATTTACAGTATATTAAAATTGGGGGGGGGGGGGACGTCCCCCGCGTGATCTATGCCCCTGGATCAGTATCTTTATTGCCACATAGGGTTAAAGTCTAGACTGAGTTTGAATGATGAAATGAGTTGGCAGGTGCTACTATGGGAGTTTTCATTATTATTATTTTACTCATAAATTAAGCAGGTGGGGTGAATTGCCCTAATGTGGGACATTTTTTGCATTTCAGACTTCTGTGACATGTTGCGATGTGTAGCCAAAACATTAAATCCATACCCAATACCATTTTAAAAAAAACAGGATATGTCCTAATCAAATCAAAAGAGAAAATGCAGATAAAACAAAAGACATTATAGACATTGTGCAAGTCGTCTGAGAACATCTGCAGCTTTATCGTAGAAAGGTATATGATAAAAGGCCAAAATCACCTTGATTCATGTGGAATAAGGTCTGTTAGCAATCCTTTTGGTGGTTAAAATGTGGATAACTGAACAGCATCAGACAAATGATACAATATGTTAGTTTTGATTCATTTATTATAAAGACATAAAGCAACTATATTATCATAGGCCTATAAAAAATTCCTGACTGTTCTCTAGTTAATTTTACTTAACAACAAACACATACAACCACAACAGGCATAGCCTAGACCTATTTTAAGGCAAAATATAAAATCTTGCAAAAAAACAAAAACAAACATCAACTCACATCTTGAACAAACTTTAGGCTAGATTCAATCTTGAATCAGAATTCATGAAAGTGCATGAAGAATGTGGTCTTCACACAAGGTGCTTCCCGTTTGATGATTGCTCCACCCTCATATATGACTGGACATTTGAGAGGTTATGATATTCATCACTTGACAACAGGCACGTGCACAGGTAGGGCTCAACCTGTGCAGAGCACATGTCCTTTTTGCCCTTACACTCCAAAGTGTCCTTTTTTGTGTTTTTCTTCCCTTCTTCAATAAATCAATGCTATTGGTCACCCTTTACGTCTGTCTGTCTGTCTGTCTGTTTTAGAAATATTTAGCCAATGAAAGGTATTTAAAAAAGCTTGTGACTGAAAGGTATTATAAAGAGCTTGTGACTAAATCTTGTTGGATCCGCTCAAACTGCCAGTAAAAACCTCATAACTCCACACCCTCTATCTTCACTGAATGAACTGAATTACCACAGCAGCTGAACTAGGTCTGCAAGGGTAAATAAAGATCTTGTTGTTTGAATAAGTACAGCGTTTTCTTTACGCAAGAAACACTATGTCTATAAAGGCTCATATGTATTTGAAACTGAGTGCTGCGCCCATATAGCTACAACAAACACCTGGTGATGAAAACGTAACGCCGCCGTTTTAATGACGGACAAAATGCACATTTGCACACATTCACTGAGGCTCATATGTATTTAAACTGGAGTGCTGCGCCCATATAGCTACAACAAACACCTGGTGATGAAAACGTAACGCCGCCGTTTTAATGACGGACAAAATGCACATTTGCACACATTCACTGGTCAAAAACCCTGTAACTGCGTTTGAGTTTGACACAAAGCGACTGAGTGATCATCATCACCTAGGTAAAATATATTTCTAAGAAATGTATGATTGCTGATACACTTAATTTATTAACATTTAATCATATTATATGGTCGCATGGCTAATTCATGTTTACGCTGTTAATATGCATGTATTCTAGCTAGCTAATTTTTTTATCTAGTATTCTATACTCTCTGCTCGTCTTCAAATGTATAAACGTAGTAAAACATGGTTTTACTACAGTAATGTTGTTGTAACCAAAAAAAACTTTACAGAATCAAATCACTGTGAAATCTAATAATGTAATAATGTAATACATTATATATATTACATAGCTAAAAAACTATTTTTCTTCAAACGTAATTTTATTGAACTTTATATGTGCAAAGCAGAGAAAAATTGAATTGTGTATATACTGTATATATATATATATATATATATATATCTTCAAAATATTGGATAAGAAAAAATTAGTAGTACAAAAATAAAAAAATGCCAATATTACAAAATATAACATTAAAAAGTGTATAAATCACTCGTTTTTCTAAAGAAACATTGTCCAACAGCGACACCAGCAGGTAAAGTTACAGCGGGAGTCCGCGTCTCTCTCGCCTCCCTTGAGCCCATTGAGTTTTAACAGACCAACTAAAGCCTGCAGTGTAGGGGGGGGGGTAATTGAGATTGAATGGGGGAAAATCACGTGAATGTTACGTCAAAATAAGACTTGAAATGGTCTGAAAACATGATCTGTGGGAGTGTTGTTTAGTGAGTAAATCAGCTTGTTGAAATTTAAAGTAAATATCTGTGTCTGTGACCAATATTTACTGAGCTTTGATGACTGATGAACCGAATAATTCAAAAATTGTTAAAAGTTAACTATTAAAAAGAATAACTGAACATAAGTTCACAAATAAAATATTTTGTTTAAATTGTTACTGCCTTGAGTTATTATTTTGGAATAAATGTAAAATGCTTAATAACTTGATGAGATTCATACTTGGCTTTAATAAACAGAATATTGATTACATTGTTAATGTAAAAATATAAAATAGAATTGTATTTGTTGTTGTTGTTTTCTGGTAGTGTAAGTAATGTTTATTTAACCAACATGTGACTGAGACAGGAATTTACATTTGATCAATAAAAAAAATTTAAAAAAAGGACTGCCTCCTCATTTCAGAACACCACCTGTATGTATGTATGTATATGTGTGTGTGTATATATATATATATATATACAATTTAAAAAAGAGTGAGTACACAAGAGCAATTCACAAACACAGGACCCTACAAATAATAATGACAACTACCCAGGAGGCCCATTGTTATAGCCTACTTTACTTCTAGAAGGCCAGATATCCTTTGCACTCTATACTGCCAAGCTATCATACCATGTCCTTTTTCCAGGCCAAGTCTATTAGTCGAGACAGCTCGCACAATGTAATTAACATCCAAATAAATTCACAAGAGCAAGTATATTGTATATTGCACATGTTTATTTACATTAAAGGCAAAATAACTAAGATATTAAGAGCACATGTATAGATCTGGAACTTCTTTAAGTCTGTCTAAATATCATTTAGTAATTGCAATGTCTTCTGGTCCATATCCTTTCCTTAGGAAGGTGTGCTAAATACTGATTAATGTAACATAAAAATACTATACATATTTATATATTTTGCTATTGTATTATGGAGTGACACTTTCATAAACTTTTCTATACCCCTCTGATTATATAATGGTAAATATTACAATATCATAGCACAACAACAGTGATCAGCAATAATGATAAGCCTAATACTCACAATAAAAATAATAAGGTCATATAGATCACAACAGTCTTGGAGGTAAGAAGTGGATTATCCTTCACCTGAAATGCGAGGCAAATGTTGGATCACAATAATTAGGAACCAGTTTGCACAAATCCCTTCACTCGATTGAGATGTTCTCTTTATTTCGCAGTATTAAACACGTATTTATACAGATTTCATCAGGCTCCGAAAATTCTTCAAAAAGAACACAAAGAATGGCTTTCTCAGCTGCCATAGTTGCAACTCTTGCGTCATGAGAACAGGGTGTTCAACGCACCACCGTTTCAGTTTAAAAAACGTTTTGCACCGTTTTTGTCGGGGCTGAACCATAGACTGTATAAAAACTGAACGCAGCCCTGGTGGGCGAGAGCCAGTGACGCCACGTCCCCGTTACGAGCTGAGCTCCATCTCCTCCGCGCTGCATTCGGAGCAGCTCGTGCAATCAAGAGCTTTAAAACGCATCGAAACCACAAGACCCGACATCAATACCATCATCACCATCGAATTTAGTAGGAAAGCTGAAGATGCTTCAGTCCCTTGCCGGTAATTCGTGCGTGCGCTTGATACAGAGCAACAAATCGGCATGGTATTTTTTATTCCTCGTGCTCGGCTATATTCTGTATCTCATATTCGGAGCGGTGGTTTTCTCCTCGGTGGAGCTGCCATATGAAGACCTCTTGCGCCAGCAGCTCGGAGGGATCAAACGACAGTTCCTCAAGGAGCACGAATGTCTGTCCGAGGAAAGGCTGGAGAGGTTTCTGTCCAAAGCGCTGGAGGCCAGCAACTATGGGGTGTCTATTCTCAACAACGCGTCGGCCAACTGGAACTGGGACTTCACCTCGTCTTTGTTTTTCGCTAGCACTGTCTTATCAACCACAGGTGAGTCATTGAACAATGCAGATATGTCACAAACTTATACAACGTGACATTTGATGGCTAACGTGGCTTCCGTGAGACTCTGTGGATAGTGCACCATTTGATGGGACTAGATATTTGCAGTGACCCATATTTTTTAGTGTTTCAGCAAGGCATCCGTAATAACAACAAACAATACATCTCATATGACTTAAAAAAAATGTTAATGCACCACTGCTTGTAATAGAGAAGTTCTTCTCCTTTTGTTCTTGTTTTTCTCATTTTTTCTTTGTTCTCTTTGGAAAGCTTTCTCATCTGTCATTTAACACCTGCCTTAACACAGCAATGTTACCCTAGACAGGTATCCAATTCTCAGACAGGCGTGAAACTTTATATATAACTTTATAGAAGATCTGTACAATTCAGTCTGTGAACTATATGCAGATATAGGCCTGTATGTTCACATACAGGAGGAAGCACAGACACAAAGATCACAACTTTCGGTTTCATTTCTATTAAATTATACCAGTATTTCTCAGACATAAGAAAACTTCATATGAAATCACCTCCTTGTCTTTCAAGATGAAACGTTCCATTCACAAGCCCCAGCATGTACCACTACATCCAAACCAGCATTATACACGAAAGACAGCTTCTTTAACTCTGTAAAGCCTGACATCTGAAATAATGAGTTTTTTTAAATGAAATAAAATGTTTTTTTTTTTTTAATGGAACAATTTATTAAACCTTTGGACAAAATCTAAATAAAAAAAGCATATATTTTTGTATAATTTTTGATACATCATGTTTTTATGGCCCATATGATTTAATGAGATTACGTAGTTCATACTTGAGGAAAAAAAGAAATGCCTACATTTTATTCAGAGACCCAAACCAATGATGAAATTCTGATAATGTAATGTAACTTAAAATGATTGCTTATAATGCAATGCAATTCAATGATGATTGAGAGATAAATGATAAATCAACATTACGATTAAAAAAAAAGTTCTATGGATAATCAAGTAAGCCTAAATTGCTCCAATCCTGTAAATATTCATTTTGAAATATAAGTTACTCTTAAGCTTATTTTATGAAAAATCATTAAAGATTTCGCAGCAAAAAGACCACAGCCTGAAGGTGGACATTTTTACAGTTACACAAAAAGGACTTTTACTTCCTGAATGTGTGTGAACTGTCACTCAGATGACAGATGACATGTAGCAGATTGTGAACAACAGTTTTTTTTTTTTAGCAGAGTTTTGATCATGTTGGTAATTTGTAGGCCTTAGAAATGTATATTTAAAAAAAGAAAGATGTATCTGCCTTTTTTAGGGTTAATTACAGTTTGTTCACGCTGTTCTGGAAAACATCACCAGGTTAACAAATTGATCCAATAAAGCCCAGTTACCACTGACATTTAGTGTTTGTTTGCATTTTTTGGGGAAGTGTGATCCAGCCTATATGAGTTAAAGTGCTGTCATGATTTATCAGGGAAGAAGGATTTACATTCGGTCTTATCATTTACAAAGACATGCAATATCTAGTTCCCCTTTGCATTTATGCATGTTATGCAAAATATATTTTCAAATCTTTTTTATCTACAAAAGGAACTTTGAACAAGACAGGTTGATAGAGAGCGGAATGAAGCCTGAGGACTGACCACAGATTTTTGGCACAGGTTGGCTTCACATCACAGGCATCATGTTCCTCATTCTAGTGAAAGTGAGAGAACTACTTGGGCTGTACTTTTAGACAATGAAAATAATTGTCTCCATGTACAATGTAAATATGTGTGTCACATAAATGGAAGAGTTAGATTCTGCAGGTTTGGTTTATTTGGTTCTCTTACAACTACAAATTTTGATTGTAGGTTATGTATAGATTGTTATAGCAGTATTGTTATACTTTGCACATTAAAATGTGACAAACTACAAAAACTGCCTTTTTTTTTTAATTCTGGTGTTCTGAATTTTTGCTAGGGTGTTTTGGATGATAACTAGGTAGTTACTTACTTGACCAAGTCAAAAGAGTCCACCAAAATCTCTATGATAATCTGGTCTCTAGAATCTCCTGAAAAAGCTGGTTTTGCTGGTCTTAAGTGGCACATTTCAGCTGATCGCACTGGGATACAACTATCCAACTAGACCAGCGGACTACAGTTTAAAAGTTTGTGGTTGGTAAAAATGTTATGCTCACCAAAGCTACTTTTATTTGATCAAAGCTACAATAAAAACTGCAATATTGTGAAATATTATTACTATTTAAAATAACAGTTTTCTATTTTAATATATTTTCAAATGTAATTTATTCTTATGATGACAAAGCTGAATTTTCGACAGCCATTACTCCAGTCTTCAGTGTCACAATATAATATAGTGATCTGTTGCTCAATATACATTTCTCATTATTTTCAGTGGTTTGTGCTGCCTAATATTTTTTTGTGAAAACCATTTTACTTTTTATTTTCCTTGATTCTTTGATAAATAGAAAGTTAAAAAAGAACAGCATTGAAATATTTGTATTCTGAATAAAATATTGAAATTTGAAACTTCCACATCATTGCATTCTGTTTTTATTCACAATTTGTACAGTGTCCCAACTTTTTTGGAATCGGGTTTGTAAATTACAGAGCTGGACTGAATGATTAATTAATTGATAATCCAGGATGGGACTTAATCGGTGCCTGGCAATGGCTGTGGGACAGTATGGTTTTGTTTTCAGTGAGGAGAATACAGTGTGCTCGTCCGTGTATAAGCAAGTTTCATAAGAGGATTATACGAAGCTACGAGAATACTTTTTGTGCGCAAAAGAAAAATATTTGCGTTTTTTTGGCAAAAGCAGAAAACTCCACATTTCATGTTTTAGAGTTTAAAAAAACACTTGTTTAATCTTTATAATCTCCTCAGATGACAATGTAGATGCCTGACAAACATTGTTGTTGTGATCATAAACTGTATGGATGTGATTATTACACGCAATACACAGAGCTTTTCCCTCACCATTGTAACGCGCTGCTTTTGCAAGTTTCCGTGAAAACATTTCAGCTTTTATTTTCCTTTTTCGCCCTGAAGAAGATATCACAGGTTCTTCAAGTTTGTTGAATTATCCATTCTCGATCACTTTTAGTCAGCTTTGTCGATACTCTTCTCAGCATCTGACCTGAATACATTGCGCTGATTCGCTAAAATGGACTTCTGCAGTAAAACGTGAACTCGCGATGCCTTTAAAGTGGACAAAACCGGCTTTTTTGACAAAACGTGTTTAGGGTTCAGATCGCGCTATATGTGGAGAATAATGCACATTGCAAATGAACTCTTCATATAGAGTTTTGTAGGGAAGAATATGATTTTAACAAATAGAATATAGTCCTTGAGAGGGCATTTGAAGTTGAAAGCTTGAATATTTATAAATAAGCAGTGGTGGAAAGAGTACTGAAAAAATATACTCAAGTAAAAGTACCATTACCTTCCAAAAAATGTAGTGTGAGTAGAGTAAAAGTACTTGTCCAAAAAGCTACTTGAGTAAGAGTAGCCTATTTAAAAGTACTCATGAGTATTGAGTAGTGAGTACTGAGCTGTGGATTCTACCCCCTCATAATAAACGCTGTACACCACAATTTATACATTTTAAAAATGTTGTACATTCTGTAATTCACATTATCTTATTTGTCATAAAGAATGAAGAGTATCTATCATCCAGCAGTTTTAATTTTGACTGCCAACTCTTTAAAATACATCAAAACAGCACAGAAACAGTATTCAGTTGAAGAAAAGATGAAAGTTATTCTCAGTACAATCATCCCCATTTAAATCAAAGTTTGAAAAAATTGATTTAAAATCACGTGTAAAGCCACTGAGACAGCACGCTGCTGTTGCACATAAAATATTAATGTTTAGAACAGAGCAAATACAAACACCATTAGAAACTCATAGTTCAGCATCACACACCATGATATGGGTTAAAATGAGAGACCATTTCTCTCCAAAACAGAGCCAGTTAAAGCGTTTTGCATTAAGAAATAATAACTAAACTTGCCTATTACTCTCTATCCAATCACGTTGATGGATAAAAATAAAATTAAAATAAGCATGTCACGACCACAAACGGAGGAAAATAGCGGAGTAAAAGTACCGATACATCACTTAAAATGTAAAAAGTACACAATTTTTAAACTACTCAGAAAAGTACAATTACTTATAAAAACTACTTAATTACTGTAACGTGAGTATTTGTAATTCGTTACTTCACACCCCTGTAAATAAGTGTGAATTAAAGGTGACACCATGAAAACTTGACTTTTTCCAGGTTTAAGTGAGATTGCGTCAGATTGTGCTCCCCCCATGACCTAGAAAGGGCTAATATTTTTATAATATTGCCGCCCTTTAATTGTGTTTTTGCAAGCGACATCGTTGTAGCAGTTCTAACGCCATGGCGAAAGTTTGAGCAAAGCATGCTAACTGTTCTCTCTTTGGCTGCACTGACGAGCACAGAACACTGTTTAGAGTCCCAGCCTCAGAGGAGACAAGAGAGCAGCTAATTTATTTATTTACTGTATATTATGCTGTTGCCACACAGATCTAATATAAACATGCGATTTCTTTACCTTCACAGACATAACCGACTGTTTTTGTAACTCGTGTGTGTTTTTAACATAAACGTGTGTGTATTTGACAGTTTAAGCACAATAAGACATGAAAGAGACCTTTCCAAGTTTAGTACTCAAATGCTGTGTGAAAGCCGCTTTCTGTGCGCGTGCTTCAGATGTGTGCGCTCAGAAAACCGTTTATCAGAAGTTCAAACTAATATGGTTTAAAATGCATAATTTCAGCGCGATAGACATGATAATCAAAACCAAACAGATGTTTTTTGGCAGAGTATCTGAGGTAAGAGCTGTAAAGCCACATCTCTATTCTTGAAAAGGGGGCAAGGAGCAGCATTTGCGTTTAAAGAGACATGAATGAAAACAGCATGTTTCTGCTTCTGCTCAAAATAGGCATTTTTAAAATGATATAATAAATGATCTGTGGGGTATTTTGAGCTGAAACTTCACAGACACATTCTTGGGACACCAGAGACTCATATTACATAATGTAAAAAGTGGCATAATAGTTCTCCTTTAAAAAACATTCAGAAGTCTTGGAAATGCTGTATAGTAAACGTTCTGTGGTTTATTTGTCATGTAAACTAATTTAAAGGGAAAGTCCATCCAAAAATGATAATTCTATCAATTCTGTTACAACATAAAAAAAATGTTTTAAAGTATGTTGGTAACCAAACAGTCTCGGTTTCCATTGACTTGCATTGTATGGACAAAAAATGTAGTGAAAGTCAATGAGAATTGAAACTGGTTACCAACATGTTTCACAGAAGAAAGAAACTCTTACAGGTTTGAAATGACATGAGGGTGAATCATTGATGAAAAATTTTCTTTTTTAGATAGATCATTCCTTTTAATGTCAGTTTTTGGTTAATAAAATATCGTTAACATTGTGGTCCAGTTTAAAGGTCCTTATAATTCTCAACATTAAGCCTTTATTTCTCATAGTGATGTATTTTATTGAGTAAACATGCCTAGTCTGTTCACTTCCTCTTCTCCTAAGTGAAATTCAGCCCAGTATACAAGTAAAAAAAATACTCGGCTGACTTCCTTTTATGTATCTACACATCTTAATGTGTAAGTCTGGCCTGTTGTCATAGAAACAGATGGAAGGTAAAAAGGAAGTGCATGTGATTCAAGAGTATAAACTGTTCGTTCACTGCTGCTCTACTGTTCCATTTAGTGTTTGTCTTACTTATGAAGCAGTACAGCTCTCATTTTCAAAAAGTTGCATGAAAATGACACATGGCTTTCGTGCTTGTGTGGGTTTAGTTGATGCAGATGGTCCCGTCTTTCTGTTCGGTGTGCGTGGGACGGTGAGAAAGATTTGCTGTCGTAGCATAATTGTGGAGGATGTGGCATTCGTGAGGCCCACACATGCTGAGTTTTCTTCTTTAGCTCTGAATATTTCTGTATTAATTTCATGATGTTGCTGAGATGAAAGATAAGATGCAGGCAAAAATAATCGTATTCATGATCCTTGGGGTGGCCAAAAGAGTTTTAATTTTTTTATGTACACACTTTTCCTGTAAGGTTAACACAATTGCAACCTAACCTATTTTGTGTTGTATTTTGTTATGTGATGATGTATATTTTCATGAATTACATTCCTTTATTTCTCCACTTCTTTCTTCCCTTCGTGTCCCACAGTGTATCTCCTCCTCGGCCTGATTGCCATGCTGGTGGTGTTGGAGACCTTCTGTGAGCTGCAGCAGTTGAAGCAGCTGAGGAAGATGTTTTATCTGAAGAAGGAGAAGCCCCAGGACCGTCTGGCCATCATGGAACATGACCATCTGACCTTTAGCTCCATGCCAGACGGTACCGCCAACTCACCCCAGGAGGACAAAACCGAACCCTTTGTGGACTTCCCTGTCCTAACCTCTCCAGGAGGTGATGACCCCATGATCAAATAGATGTTTTCGCTTCCATCAACGTAACACTCAATCGAGGGAGACATCTTTAGCCGAGGGGTCTTGCAAGTTACTGGTAGGATACAGAATTGTGAAAATTACTTGAATAAGACGCTCGAGATTCTGCGTATTTAACAGCCCTCTACAAAACCATGATACGTGATAAAATCGTTCACTGGCTGAATATCTGTAAATGATCATTAGCACACTTAGGCTGCTACCCCATCAAATCGGCAAACTACATTAAAAAGCATAATTGCACACTTGTACACTAGCATGTACTTGCCAATTGAGATCGCACAAATGGTAGAAGTAATGTTGACAGCATTTGTGGCATAATGTTGATTACCACCAAAAAATTTTTTCACTTTTCACTCCTTTTCTTTAAAAAAAAAAATCTGTTTCAGTAAGGCACTTACAGTTGACATAAATGGGGCCAGTCTGTAAACACTAAAATACTATTTGAATTGTGTAGCCACAAGAACTAAATGGTATGTGTGTTAAAATGATTTTAGCACGAAATAAAGATTTTAATCTTTTCTATATAAATTTATAGCCAATTTTACATTTTTACCATCACAATGGACATATAAATTCTAATAATTTCAACACCTTTACAGTTGAAAAATAACAACATACAGGAAGTGATTTTATAAAATTAGCAGCTTCACATTTCTGCTTTTAAAGGTACAGTTCACCCAAAAATTTAAATTCTGTCATCATTTACTCAACACGTGTGACTTTATTTCTTCTGTGGAACTCAAAAGAAGATATTTTAAAGAATGTTGGTAATTTCAGTTCCCATTAACTTGCATTGTAAGGACAAAAAAATACAATGGAAGTCAATGGGAACAGAAAGTGTTCGTTTACCAACATTCTTCAAAATATTGCCTTTTATGTTCCACAGAAGAAAGTCATGCAGGTTTGAAACGACTTGAAATAAATGACAGAACTGTCATTTCTGGCTGAACCATTGCTTTAAACCGTTTAAAAAAAATAGACCCATTTACTATCTTTCTTTTTTAATAATGAGGAACTGTTTTTTGTGATTATCAACTTTTGCCACAATTGCTGCTATTTAAGCTTCACTTTTCCAGGTATTGAACCCAGAATATCCTTTTGTAGACCAAATTTCTTAGACTCTAAATCAAAAAGCACTTCTGCTCTGATCTAAGCTTCGAATAAAGACCACCATCTTCTCACATCTTCATAAACATGAGCTCACTTACATATAGTGGAAACCTGTCATCAAACATAGTTGCCCATCATCTGTTAAGTTTCATTTCCAACTCGTGTGATCTACCTTGTGAGCTTGCAACTAGAGTAATACTTAAGGATATCCGCTACTACTGGTGATCGAAATTACTCTAGAAGTCTCTTATGAAGCTGTATCACTCTAATGCATTGAAATGTTAAGACTATAATGCAGCATATACTGTTGCATAAGTCAGTGTAGAAGCACAAAAAAAAGTTAGTCTGCTCAAAAGGGAGTCATTTTAGATGACGTTGTTAAAATAGTGTGACATTTATCTTAAGGGATATTTTAAATGTGTTTTACAGGGGAAAACATGTTATACTGTATAATTTTCTCATTTTAGAAAGTGATATTTTACCGTGGTCTGAAAATTAAAATACTTGACAGAGTAAATCAATCTGAGTTTACATGGATTTTTGAATCCAAGGTTGAATAATGGCTGGCTCCATGTGTCCTTGTCCCAAGCTACCGAGATACAGCGCAATGCCGTTACATACCAAAAAAGGTTTGGAGAAAATCTTGGATTACTGAAATCTTGGAGACTAATTGACTGTATAAAACTTAATCATCCAGATCTTTGATTGTTGCATTCAGAGCATTTTTGTGGCTATTTAATAAACATAAATGAATGAATTATATTTTTGAAACATGCTTGAAGTGTTGTTTACAATAGAATGCTTGTGTTTGTATTATGAGAATGACTGTTGTAAGCACAGACTGATGACTAGTTTAAGGTTCGGTTGGAAGATCACACACTGTACTGCAGATTGTGCTGTATCACCGTCACCACAGTAGAATGTCATGACATTATCACAATAGAATAAAAGCTGAAAGTTTTAGGCCTCATTTTAACTTCTGTTGTGTCCGACTAGGGATTATTTACAGATAGTGTCGTTTTTACATTAAAGAAACATGCGGAATCGGAGCTCAGGCCATGGGAACTTGAATGTGCTGATGTGACTTTTTTACTGTGTGAGTAATGAAATGCTCCGTGATGTCACTGCTGGATTCTTTGTGCTTATTTGCCCTTGGTGTTTTGCAGCACAAGTCTCTATGATCAGCTACAGTGTCTTAACATTGTATCAGTGCAGCACAGAATAATGTATATTTGCTATTAAATATTTAATTTTAATCAGTAGTACGTTTAGAAATACAGAAGGGCATAATGTCATGATATCGGTTTAAGTTGCGTGTGAGAGACTGTTGAATAAATGTCATTTCCATATATAAAAATCCTGAACTGGATCAATTGTCTTTTTTGTAATTATTTTTAACATATGAAAATGACTACCAGGGTTGGGGAGTAACTAGTTTCATGTAATGGAATTAATTACAAAATAAATGTAACTAATCCGTTACAGTTACTGAGAAAAAAAATTTGTAATTTAAATTACAGCCACTTATGAAAATGTTAACCATTACAAAGGGGGTTATATCTCTGAATATTTTCCACATGTACACAGATTTGATTGATTTCTTTCCCAAATTGCATTGACTGCTCTAAAATACGAGACACCAATGTTTCAGGAGTTTAGAACTCAAAATAGGGCATGCTTATTCAATAACGGTTTTATTTCCTATTTGGGTTTATGTACTTTATATGCTTTATTTTTTTAAGATGTACTTTCTTACATCTTAAGAAAGGCATTGTTAGATGCTTCCCGTCATAGCTATGCAAAGATTTGAAATAAACCATACCTTTCAAAAAGTGACATAAAAACTATTTTAAAATATTAAAAAGTTTGTCATGGGGACTCGCGTCAAAAAGGTTTCGGTTTTCAAACATTCATTTTTTTTATTTATTATAATTGGTGAGAACAATACAATTTTTTAAATGTGTCTTTCCCCCCCCCCCCCCCCAAGGCATTGTTAGATGCTTCCCGTCATAGCTATGCAAAGATTTGAAATAAACAATACCTTTCAAAAAGTGACATAAAAACTATTTTAAAATATTAAAAAGTTTGTCATGGGGACTCGCGTCAAAAAGGTTTCGGTTTTCAAACATTCATTTTTTTATTTATTATAATTGGTGAGAACAAATACAAATAACGAACAAGGAACACAAAATACACTAAAAACCATGCTTTTGCACTTTAAGTAGCAGCTCATCACACAGTTCTGTGACATCTTTGACTTCTTTAGCCTGAGAAGAGAAAATTATCACATTATAGATGTTACATAACTTTTTTTAAAAGCAATTCACAATTACACAAAAAGAAC